CTTCAAATTCTTCATAATCGTACGCTCATTCACAATCAAAATCCTATCAAAAATCTAAAGCGCAGGTTTGATCATTTTTTCTGATTCATAGTCTTCTTTCCTTTTATTACTTATTGAGCTTGAATTTCTTAATTGGATTATGTGCCCTGCAGCAATTAGATTCATGCAAATCTTTTATCTCCTATGTCTCTTGATTTCATTTCTCATCTACCTTATATCTTGTGCTTGTTCTCTTGCTCTTTCATCTTCCTGGTCATACCCAGATCTGATTATGCTCATTGTTGAGAAAATGTGTTTGTAATGTTTGCTGTAATAGTTGTTAATTGTTACATTTTAAATTGTGAATGACTACTTTTTCAATTGTCAATGCATACTGCTAAAACATCTTATACAAACTTATGATATAATCTCATTTTAATTTACATATTCTGATCACACATGATTTCAAGTTAAATAAGCTTGTATAATACTTGTTTGTTATAATTTCATATCATATAAGAAGCAAGACAAATGTTTATCAAATAAATATCAAGTCAGAAGTGTAGCAATAAGTATGAGCTTAATCTACTCAAATAGTTGTAGGGTCATGAATTACCGCTATGTTTCTAGATAATTTGTTGATGGGTTGCTTTGTTATAAGTTGGGATGAATGAATTTGATGAAGGTTGTTAAAGCTAGAAATTTTTGTCATGTATTGAGAAAATATGTTATTAATATCTACCATAATAGTTATTACTTATTATACTATAAGTTGTTAGCAGTGGCCCTTTCAATTGTCAATCAATGATGCTAAAACACTTGATATACTCTCATTTCAATTTTCATATTCTGATCATATATTATTTGAAGTTAAATATGCTTATATGGTACATTTTAGTGATAATTTCATATGTACTCAAGTAATTTTTTGTTCATTTGCTCATGATATCTATTGAATTTAATGGTTCCTTTGCTTTTACATGCAGGTAAAAAATAGTCTAATAATTTATTCGAAAGATGTAGATTGTTGCTGATTAGAAATTAGTTGTGATAGATTAGTGGAGTTGTGGCTAAAAAATAGGAAAGAAATAGATGCTTCAATTGTTTATAGCTTTTACGCAACCAGAAAATGCCTTTTTTATAACTATAAATGACCTTGTTTGATAAGCAAATGTACATTACTTCTATTGTTATTATTTATCAAAGGAAATTAAATTTTCAAGTAAAGTTGTGTGATTGCAATGAAATTCAGGGTGTTTGCAATGAAATTGTATATCATATTTTGGTATAACATATAAATTTATACCATGTTTTTAAGGTCTACACAAATCTTTATATGATATTACTAGCAGGAGGAAAATGAGAAATCAAAGTGCAATGATGATTGATAAGTGCAAGTTTAAGAAATCATAAGTGTTGGTGAAGGAAATAATAGTTCACTTTATATTAGAATATATAACTTAAACTTTATATAAAATTATATCCAAACTAAATTCTATCAAAACATAAAATTTTTTTATTATATTATGTCAGATTGTATCACAAGTTTATATCAAAAACAAGTTAAGGTATAATTATTAACAATTAAAGGTTTAGTACATGAGGATGCACAAAATGACAATTCACTTTATAACAAAATATATGTTTTTTTATCAAATTATATTCAAGATAGCTATACAAGTTCATATGCACTATGTAATTGCACCAATTTTCCAAGAAAATGATTTATAACTTTATATTGCAGTGATGAGTAAGGGTGGCTATATTGATAAGTAATGGTGCTTGCAATGACAAATCACTTTATATTAGAATCTATAATTTATCCACCAGATTATATACAAAATACTACCTCCGGTCCTAATTATAAGAGCCAGTTGATTAATTTGAGGAGATTAAAGAAGTAAGTTGAGTTAGTTATTTGTCCTAAATAGGTGTTGTCTTTCCTAAAATATCCTTGCTAATCAAATCTTATTATTAGAAGGGCTACTTTGGAAAAAAAATATATAAATATAAGAGACAAAGTGGATCGGGGTCTTATATTAGAACCAAAATAAAAGTCAAATATGGTCTTATATTAAAGACCGGAGGTAGTATATTTATATCTTTATATGCATCTTCTATATAATTATAATAATTTCACATAATGAATTCATAGTTTCATTGTCTATTCACAAGAACTATATGATCTCATCTCTGCACTTTTTGCATGTTCTTGAAATATTAGAATTAGATTTGCATCATGATATATTGTTACAACTGTTAATCTGTCAAAGTTTCTATCCCTTCCATTCTCATAAGCTTTTCATGTCAAAATCCTATTGTTAGTAGCCGTTAATCTCCCCTTGCCTTTTTTTTTTTTTAAAGAATCATTTGGTGTCTCGATTCAACTGATAAAATTCCTGTCAAGTAAATTATTCCTCCTAGATCATAGAGTAGTCATATTTTGCTTCACTCATATGAAATTGCTTGAAAGTTGAGGAGTAAGTTGTATTGTTGAAAAGAAGTGACCCACGTACTCTACAGTCTTGAGAAATTTTACCATAAAACTGATTTTGGAAGAAATTTAATACAGGAGGTTAAAGGTAGAAATAAATCATAGAAAAATTCATAAGACTTTTTTATATTAAAAGAGGATCTTTTACGAATAAAAATAAATTTTTAGAGGCCTAGAACTACTATTTAAAATTAGTGAAAAATAGTAACCAACGTAGTATATTTTGACCTGAAATTGGTAATTCATGATTGGGCCACATTTCCTCTTTCTCTCCAGTCAGTTTTGGAATTATTTTTGGGCCAAGGAAACATAGGAATTTCGTGCAGCCCATCATCTCTCATGTAAGAAAAGTTTAAGCCCGAAAACAAGCCCAAGAAACCAAGAAAAATCACATGTTGAGGGATACTTGGCATGACCTAAAGATAGAAGGCTATGACAGGGGACACATGGTCCTTGAGTTGGCAGATTTTTAGGCCACATAGAAGGGGGATTATTCGGCCAAAGAGCTGTATAAATACCCCTTCATATGAGCTCGTTTTCGGCCAAAAATTGGGACAACTAAGGGGAGACTCTGTTACACCAAAAACTCAAGCAAAAGAAGACCTAAAACCGCACAAGAGAAGAGAAAAGTCACCAAGCTTTAATCAAGGATGAATTAAGGCATTGTGCAAGAAAACAAGGAGGAGCACTAAAGACTTTAGGAAGTCGAGACATATACTTAAGCAAGAAGTAGCATTGAATTTATAATTTGATTGTTGTCGTGTTTGTTTGAATGTGCACGTATTATTTGTTCTATAATGCCATGATGTGATTAAGCAAGCTATGTGATTATGCCTTGATGTGAATTTCTATATGTAATATGCCTTGGCAATATGCAATTTTGAATGGCTTAGTGATGTGATACATGGCTTTCTTTCCATGGCAATAAAAAACATATAAAAGCTTGTGTATGATAATTCTAGTTCCATGGTAACATGTCACATTTTTGCATAGCATGATAATTATGATTTATTAACATTGAGATTTCCTATGAAATCTCATTCCTTTATGTTCAAATTATTGATCAATTAGGGGATGGAGCAAGCAAGGAGAAAGGCAAGGAGATTGTCTTGGGATAGAAACGATTTTGATACCTCTTGAAAGATTGTTTTGTAAACTTATGTTTTATGTAATTTTGTAACCTTATGTGAATTGACTTGGACTATTGTAATGATGATCTAAGATATCATGAACGTGAATGTTTGACTAAGAAATCATATTTAAACATATGGTATGTGAATGGAATAATCTCATGGTGTTAAAGGAAGAGAAAAGTCAAGAAAAAACATGAAAAAGGGGATAAAATAACACTAAATATGCTTCATTTTCATACCAACGTGATTCTAGTCAAATGATCGAGATTTGGTTGAAACTTGGCAGACTTATAGATTATAGTTTTAGTTTTAAAACAAGTGATATTTCATCAAAATTGAAATTTTGTACAAAAAGTTATACCTATCCAAAATTAGGTATAAATTCTGAAAATTTTCAAGCCAAATTTTAAACATTTAAAATATTTAATATTATCTAATGATATGGGATAATTCTGTTATCTACATTTAAATAAATTTAATTAACATTTAAAGTTTAAAATAGTAAAAGTAATCTCATAGATTTTCAATTATCTCACTAATAAAATCTATCAATTAGCAAACTGATCTTCAATTGAGATCTCTTGATTCTCAATATTTTGTTAGGCACGTACAATTTATGGGATTTTATTTTTATCTCATATTAGTTAGGGGATTTGGCCAAAAAGACAAAAAGAGAAAAATAGATGCGGTTGAAGAGATTAAAAAAGAACTTAATCAATTTAATGTATCTAATAGGTTTTCAATTATCTCACCAAAATGATGAATACTTGGTCAATTTAAGTTTTTAAATTTGGAAAAATAAAATAGTTAAACTATTTTATCTTGTGATTTTCAGTATAACGCATATTAGGAATTCTTACTAATTTAACCCTGACCAATTTTTAATTATTTAACATATTTAATGTTATCTAATGATATAGGATATCTCTGTTATCCGCTTTTAAATACATTTACTTAAATTAAAATTCAATCATTTAAAATCGTAAAAGTCATCTCATGAATTTATTTTCAATCATCTCACCTAATAAAATCTGTCACTTATCTCACCGAAAACAAAAACCTATCACTTAGCAAGTTGATCCTCAATTGCTTATTTAAAAAAAAAAAATCCTCAATTTCTAGATTTTCCTTCTGCCAAGGACTGAGGCTTAGATCCCTTCTTTTCATGCAAGGAAAACAGACATTATTCATGAGGAGTTAAATCACTAACAATCATTATCTACCTGACCCATCTTTGGTAAGCCATCTATAGTCTCGTTTTATTCACAACAAATCTGTTGCATTTTACTTGCCATTTAAAAGCACTTAAAGCAAACATCTTTAGTTTCTAGATTTTAAGGACTGAGGCTTAGGTCCCTTCTTCTCATTCCCCACATATTTTCCGGCAAAAGAAAATGCTGAGCCACAAGGTCCCTAAAGATCTCATGGAGGAGATTTTTGTGAGGCTGCCTGTAAAATCCTTGCTTCGGTTCAAATGTGTAGCCAAATCCTGGTACGCCCTCATCACTGACCCTTGTTTTATTGCCAGACATCTTGAACGGTCCAGATCTATCAGCAAGATTCGCCGCCTGAAGCTTATCTTCCAAGTGAATTGTTCCAATCGGGTGCCCTTCATATCCTTGATTTCTAAAGACCAACCTTATTGTGTGCCCCACGACATGGAACCTCTCCCTCGTAAGGAGTGCTGGTGGTTTCATGGTCACTGTGATGGGATTTTCTGTCTGCACGTGATCAATGTCACTGAAGGAGATGATAATGGGAATAAGTTGTTCAACTATTTGTACCCAACAAAAGGAGGAGATAATTATCTGCTGGATAAGCACAACCTAATCCTTTGGAACCCAACAACAAAAGAGAATAAGCTTATTGCGGCGCCTCAGCGCTTTCAACCCAAAGGCATATATAGCTTCTGTCATGTTTGGATTTGGGTTTGATCCCATTACAAAAGATTACAAGGTTGTTCAACTTTTACTTCCTCTTTTCGAGGCTATACGTCTAGTCGAAGTATATAATCTTAGTACTAATTCTTGGAGGGTATTAGATGTCGTTGTCCCAGATTTTGGGTTATGTTATCATAATTGTACGTTTTATTTGAATGGAGCTTATCATTGGTTAGTTTTTGACTTGCATGGGATCAAAAGAGAGTTTATTTTGAGTTTCGATTTTAGCAAAGAGGTGTTTGGGATGATCCAATTGCCCCCTGCGGTTGATTCTTTACATGGACCAGGCAATATTTTTGTACTTGATCAAAGTCTTGCTTTTGTTCAACGTAGTTTCGTAACTCGAGAATCTAAGATTTGGGTGATGAATGAGTATGGTGTTGAAAGTAGCTGGACTGATAAGTTTGAGATTCGACGACTTGATGAGTTTAGATCCGTCTTAGGGAAAACCAGCCAAGTGAAAGCAGTGCATCATATGCAGAAAAGAAAGAGCTCCCTGAGAGGCGAACATAGGAGAATAAGAAAAACCAGCTTCCTTTTCCACGTTGATTATACACATTCACTCTCCAAATTAGTTGTATTGAGATTCCCATGTAAATGGAATTGGGAAAAGGCATATAACCAGTTTCACAGGGTGAGAACTGTTGGTGCAGATACTATTGGCTTAATAACGGACCCTTTTATCCATAATTCCTTTGACATTTTTTAGAAATTATTTTGAGAATCAGAAATTTGAATTATTTTTAGATAAGAGTTACCTGAGTAGGAGGCTTGAGCACAAGGGAGTTTCCAGCAATCAGTGCAGGATCAATTTTTGAGACAGCAAGATTTACCGCATAATTAAATGGTGGAATAGCTAAAACTACTCCCAATGGAATCTGAAAATAAATTGGGGCTTGCTTAGATTACGCATCATGTACAAATATCAACAAGAAAGAAGGATATCAAATGACCAGTTGACAGACCAAGGTAGTGATTATATTTATTGTAACTATCAGTAACTAAAATAAGAATGTACTTTCAAACTACAGTGTCTATAATGTGGTAAAAAAGTGATCAGAAAATACTCTCAAATGATCCCAGATTATTTTTTACTCCTGTACTTTATGTCAAAGATAGTGCTACTTCTGAACTTGCATATTGTCTCAAGTGCTTTGGCTCCAGATGGTGGAAATTTACCTTGAAAATAACTTACAACTAAGATTAATCCTATTGTCCACTCAGTCATCATATTATTGAATTTTGGTAATTATTCTATTATTAGCATGATAAAATCATACGTCGCTGCATGAGAAGAACAGGACTTTTTTCAGTTTTCTAACTATGGAGAATATCATAAAGCATGATTCGAGAGAAACATTTGATTATGAGCTGGAATGAAAAAGATTCAAATCAACAAAATGGATGGTCTCTCTCCCTCTCTCTCTCTCTCTCTCTCACACACACACACACATGCTTGCATAGGTGCGTGTGTACATGTGAGTGTTGATCAACTTTATTTTTTTTGTTGGGTAACCAATAATATTCCTCCTCCATAAATGAGGGTTTATTAATAAAATTTGGAGTTACTATCCTATTTTTCTTTTCAAAAAAATTTAAACTTATAGTCTTTTCCGTTTTTATCTTCTTCCATTTAGGTTGAAATAGGGACTTATTAGCAACACAATCTAGTCCCCTTGTACCAGTTGGTTCGCATATGAAAGTTAAAGGGGTAAAGTATACAGTGAAAAGAATGTGCTGAAAATATATACCTTGGATGTTAGGGAATACTTGGTCCTTTCATTTCGAGGAAAACTATCTGATACCAAGAACTTCCCCTCTCCCAAAATCCTCACCCTTTCTTCAGCACAGTAAGAAACCAGATCCCGAGATCTCACAACCTTAAAAAAAAAACTTAAATAAGCAAGCAAACACTAACCAGCTATCTTCCAGTTCAATTTTCAGTCTTAAACAATCATATATGTTTGGCATACAACCCAGAAACAGAAAAGAATATGCACCTCTGTGACTGAATCTTTGGCTGAGTTGATGAGTTTAGATCCGTCCTAGGAATTGGGGGAATAATGAAATTCTTATTGAAATCGTCGATGGTGAAGTGATTTCTTATAATCTTCAAAATCAACACATCCATCTTCCAAAAACGAATTAGGGTCTTGGCCATGATAGTGTGGTTCCTTTGATGGCAGGACCTTTGGCTTTGACTATGTGGATAGTTTGGTTCCTTTGGCGGGGAGGAGGATGCACAACAAAATATGATGAAGATGTCTGTGTATTTTATTTTCATACTCTTCCTAATTTTTTTTGTAATCTTTTTATTAATTCATTGAATGCATTTTTTTTTTGTTTTGACGATGGATGCAGACAATTTATTTTGAATAGAAATCATAAGGCTTAAGCATTTTGTTAGTGTTGGATTTTTCTTTTCTCATTTGAAATTTTAAACAGACCTTGTATTACATTATTAATACTGGTATTTGATGATGTTGTTAAATTTATATCACTTAAAGTTTAATTAACCTCGGTTAACAATATTGGATCTAATTAATATTAAATTCAGCTCTTCTAATTTTCAGAAACACCTTATTTTGTTTATACACTAAGAAGATTTTAAATCCAAATCATCTTATGAACTATAGTATAGAAAATTCCTTGCATTTTTTTGTGAAGAAGATGTATGTATATTTTATTTTTCATACTCTTCCTTTGTAATTTTTTTAATTAATTCATCGAATGCATTTATTTTGTTTTGCCCGTGGATGCAGATATTTTATTTTGAATAGACATTACAAGCCTCTGAGCATTTTATTGGTATTGGCCTTTTCTTTTCTCATTTGAAATTTTGAATTGGCGTTGTAACAAGATGATCAAGATCACATGATCTTATTGGCTGACCGGTTGCTGGAGTTTCGGTGAGGGCAGTGGCCATTGGAATTCAGGCAGGCTGCCGTCACCGGAACAACTGGTTGCCGGAGCTCTGACAGTTGGCTAACAACTGGTCGCCAGAGCTCCAGTGTCTAACAACTATTTTCTTTTTTTTGAGAATTTTTATAACTTCAGTAACACAGTTAACATTCTTTAGCATTATTAACAAGTTTGGTATGACAGTTAATAATAAGTTTTTCAGAAAATCTAAAAATGGCATTTTTACAACTTAAGTAATATGATTAACAAGTTTTGTAATGCTATTAATAAGTTCAATATAACAATTGTCAACATACTTTTTAGAAAATTAAAAAAGTGGTATTTTTATAACTTCAGTAACCCGATTAACTAGTCATGAAATGATATTAATAACTCTCATAATGCCATTAACAACTCTAATAACAAGTCATGTAATGATATTAACAACTCTCATAATTATAGTGACTGCCTAATAAATGGAAAAAAATTTTGATGTGCAACCTTCATAGGAAAATTTTGTTAATGGCGTTATGAGAGTTGTTAATATTGCTACAAGACTTGTTGATCACATTACCGAAGTTGTGAAAATGCCAGTATTTGAGTTTTCTAAAAAAACTGTTGCTAACTAAATACTGAACTTGTTAATAATGTCAAAAAAACTTGTTAATCGTGTTACTGAAGTTATAAAAATCTCACCTAAACTCCAACAGCTGCCGTCGGCACTTAACCTTTGACGACTCACTTGCCGGTAAGGGTGCTTGGTATTTTTTAAAAAAATAAATGCAATATAATCATTTTAGTAAATTTGCAAATTTCAATTCAATCACTAAACTGAAATTTTACTTATTTAAGTACTCCTTCCGTCCCATATTATAAGTAACATTAGAACTCATCATGTATATCAAAATGTTAGTTAAAATTAGTTAAAGACAATAAATATGTAAAAATTAGAAGTTCTTTCACTAAAATACCCCCATTTATGGGGGAGAGAGTATAAGAAAGAGAATAAGAAAATTATTATAATAAAGAGAATTATAGAAGAGAGACAATGTGTGATGGAGAGATGATGGTTTAGAAAATGAGATAATAAATATATCGAGTATTAAAATAAGTAATTAATAGGGGTAAAATAAGAAATTTGCTGCAAAAATTTAAGACAACTTGCAAATGTTGCTTATATTTAGGGACAAGAAGGAAATGAAAGTTGTTGCTTATAAAATGAGACGGAGGGAGTATATTCTAATACAAGAGAAACTTTTATCTCAGAAGTTGTAAAAGTTCATTTGAACGAAAAACCAACCAATATATATATAAACTTTCGGGATTTGTATTCAAATAATGCTTTCAGCAACTTACCTTTTTCCTTCTCTTCTCGGGTGAATTTAAATATTTCAAAAATTTGATATTCAATAAAGGAAGAATTCCAAAAAAATATCTTTGAATTTTAAAATTCCAAATCAATTTTGTTTATTATACTTTAATAATAATTGACAATATTTGAAATGCAAATGACAGTTTATTTTTGTAGTCATTCCTGATTTGGGATTTTGAAAATTTAGAAGTATTTTTTGGGGGATTTTCCCTTCAATAAATCTATTTCTGAGAGAATTTTAAAATTTATTACGAAATAAACAAACAAATTTGAATGGTTATTATTAGCAGTATTTATTAAAATTGCTTCAATTATGTAAGATATCAGTCTGAGATATTAACAAGAACATGAGAATATACCTGTTGTGAAAATGACAAAAACCAGAAGCAAGAAGCAAGAGGAGAAAAATATATGAGCCATCTCTTTGCTGAGTTATGGTGAGAGCTGATAAGTGATTACACACACACAGATGCTACATATATAAAAGAAATGCCAATCGTTGTTTGGATCCTTTCATAAATGCTATAAATATTTGTTTTGGTTGAGCTTAATGAATTTAAGACACAATTAATGCAATTAAAAGAAAACTTATAGTAGTACCATACTTCTTCCAAATCCCTTATATAAGATGTCTTCTAAAATGAAAAACCAAAAAAAGTGTTCTGAATTAGTAGTATTTTTATTAATAAAAAAATTAAAAGATATTCCTTTTTTATCATGT